CACATTTAAAGGCAAGATTCAGGATTAAATTATGAGGTAATTCCACTCAAATGTGAAAGTAGGGGTAGGTAGTGGAGAAAAAAGAAAAAAATCGTGAAATACACAGGAAATACGAGCCTTTTGCTCTACGCTGCGGAGAAGTTCAAAAGGCCGGCAGGGAGATGAGAGATAATGTGAGCGCGGAGAGCGCTAGAGAAGTACGAGTAGAGAGAGCATAGCAGATCAAGTTAGCGACGCAGACAAGATATCGAGCGGTGGGCGGAGCGTGTCGCAACAGGTGGAGCGTGTCAAAGTTCTTAGCGCCTAGCGTCTAAATAACGCTTTTCGAAGTAGGGAAGTGACCTCTACACTTGCGTACCTAGCGCTTCTAGCCACCGTAAAGGCTCATTAAGTGGGTCTGAGCCCGAACTTTTCTTTTAAGCTCCAGAATCATGGTGGCTTTTGGAACGTATATTTCACCTTTACCATGAATGTCGACGACAGATCAGTGTTTTCATCTTTCCAGGGTTGTCTAGTAGCCGATGACCACCCTGCAGCATCTAGGCGACAACGGCGCTTCCGCGCCAGGGTCAACCGTCGCATTCGCATTTTTTCACTTCTTTGCAATCTATTCTCAGTCTCGAGTAGTCAATCCTTTCGTATCTTTGCACTTCCTTGCTCTTATATTCAATCCGGTTACATCGAAATCCGTTCAGAGCAATCTCCCTGCTACAACGAATCGAATTCAAAGGAGGAATTCACGATAAGATGAAGGTCGAAGAAGGATCAATTCACCTAGTTGAGAGACAGGCGGACTTCCTGAGGGTGCAGAGTTGATTTGGAAAGATTTGACCTCGGCGACCTAGCATGGCTCACTCTTGGCGCGGTTGGCGGGGTACGCCCACCGACTATCTAATCACTCGCCGCAGGTCTATACGTGGCGAGTGATTAGATAGCAGAGAGAGCGTAGTGTTGAAGAGGGCACAGCGATGAGAGTCGCATCAATGCGCAAATCAACGGGCAAGGAAGGGGTCCCATTTCTCGGGTTCTGGGCCGTTTCTCATGGTTTTTCCTTCTTTCGTGTACCACTCACCATCCCTAGGTTAATTTGAAATGGGTTGCTTTTCCATCGTGAATTCTCCTTTTAAGCGCTTACTGTCAACAAGTCCTGCTCTAGAAAGCACGCACCTGCGGTTAGAAGCTGCGAAGGCATTTGAAGGTATAATTCTTCTTGCCATGACCTGTGAATGCCAGCCATTCCCATCCATGTCGTGTGGTGATGCATATCTTGGCTACAGATTTGTTCTAGATTCATTTAGACCGCATATATTGAAATGCTCGTTATCCTCCTTGTAACCTCTCGCAAGCTTGTGTTTCGTCCCGTCCCTATGTGGGTTGCTGATATGCGAAGCAGTCAATTCAAACTGAACAATTTTTATTCCATTTTTCAACTAACTAATGCTCTCACCAGCGCATCCATCTACCATTCACCTAACAGTGATATATCGCCGCGATTTCCGCAGGCCCTCTCTTCCAAGTCCATGAGCAAAATGCAACCCCTCCGTTTGGATGATTCAAACAGACGGTTGACTCTGCTCCCCGCCGCGAAGACTGACGATGAGTGCAACTTGATCTTTGCTCAAAATCAGCGCACAGTAGTATCGACAAGTTAAGACGAAAAACCAGCGTTATACCAACTCATCACTGCCTTCGGCGGGGGATATCTGATAAGATGTGGATTCATTATCAGTGTGCTCACAACAATGACGGTTGATCAACGCTTCATCTGCCATAAGTGCGATAAGAAGCTGTAAGTTCATTTTGTTGGATGACTAATCCGCATTCAGGTCGTAATCGAAGCGGGCGAGTAATCAGTCGTATTCAAAGGGGGTGGGGTCTCGGCGGGGTACACACCGATTGGCTAATGAAGCGTTCTAAGAGGATCGGCCTGGACTGCGCAGAGTAGATACAGTCCATATCCAGGTAGGCGGGCAGCCGCTGCACTTGATAGATGTCGCGCGGATAAGCTGCTTCCAACATACATCGCTGGATATCAGCAAAGCATGCTGGCAACAGCTTATCCACGCAACTTCTATCAAGTGCGGCAGCAGCCACGTCACTTCCGGTGACACGACTACCCAACTCTCGAATACGGACTGTATGTACTGACATTGCGCAAAGAAGTGACCCCTACCGCTCCTTTCCTTTCGCATTTCACTCTTAAGTCCAGCGCTCATGGTCTGGGGGGGGGGGACATTCAAAACTTGGCATTTAAGGACCGCTGGCAGGCGGCACTAGTACTAAGCTCAGGAACAGGGTGAACATCGCTCGAGAATTCCTCATTTTCTTCTGATCAGTTACGTTCTCCCGCGCGGACATTCACACTCGGATGCGACCCCCTTCCCTCTCTCAAGGATATAAGCTCCCAGCTGACTACTTTCAGAGCAATGATAGGCTTCAAGTGATAGGATGAGATTCCATCCAGACCTGCCCCTTGCAGCGTCTATGCGGCAACGCCGCTTCTTGCCACTGCGTAATCAGGACTTCACACGATCAACACGCGTTGAAAACGCAATCCCCAACGTGCTCCCCGTCGCGAGGACTTAGTGCAACTTGATCTTTGCTCTAATGGCAGCCCACAGTCAGAGTCAACCCTGCGTTGCGCAGTTCGCAACGGCACGTCGAGAGATGCTCGAGCATGCGAGTGTGAATGTTCGCGCGAGAGAACGTGTCTAATCGGGCGAAACTGCGCAACGTGGCCGTTGAAAACTGCGCAACGCAGGGTTGACTCTGCCCACAGTAGTACTGACAAGTTAAGACGAGAGGCCAGCGTGATACCAACTCATCAGTGCCTTCGGCGGGGGATATCTGATAAGATGTGGATTCACTATTAGTATATCATCTGCGCCCAACCATGACGGTTGAAAAAAGAAGGATGCACTGCTATCAGCGCGCTGAGAAGAGGTAAGTTCATTTGGTCGGTTGACTAATCTGCATTCAGGTTGTAATCGAAGTTGCTGATGAGTCGCATCTGAAGGAGGAGTCTCAGCGGGGATATCTGATAAGATGTGGATTCACTATTAGTATATCATCTGCGCCCAACCATGACGGTTGAAAAAAGAAGGTTGCACTGTTATCAGCGCGCTGAGAAGAGGTAAGTTCATTTGGTCGGTTGACTAACAGAAACGTGCGGACTATTTTGCAAACAAGTGACCCCGCTCGCTTTCTTTCTTTTGCAGGCGCTCTTATTCTTAGGGGGCGGGGGACATTCAGAAAAGGGTATTCAAAAACGCTGGTAAGTGACGCTAGGACTAAGCCCGAGATTGGAAATAAACATCAGGGAGAACAACGCTTGCTCACACCTCTCCCAGAATCCCCTCCTTAAGGCTTTCCACTCCCTAAGGCTAGTCCCGAGTTCTACTAGTGGCCCACTCACTTCAATGTCCCCCCTAAGGAGATGTGCGCCTTTTCGCATTTCACTCGTAAAGGCAAAAGTCGGGCTCAATATGGGGCATTATGGCGACTGAAAGCTGAGTATGGAGATGCGAAATGGAACGACAGTGGAGAAAAAACGAAAGAAACCGTCGACAAGGCCGAAAACGAAACCCCCGCTCCCACTAGCAGTGAAGGAGGCTTGCTTGGGGAGAGCCACGTCCAAACGAGTTTTCCGGATATGCCAGCCGTTCCATCGGTTGATACGGCAATCAACCTAGCTGATCACACGTTAGGCCAGCCACGCACCACATCCCGCGGTGGGCGGGACCAGCTGATGCAACGAACCCATCGCTGTAAGTAGTAGGCCAGAGGCCTTGACGGCGCGCAATCTCGAGTCAGGAGTGTGGCATCACCCCTCTGAGCGCATTCCTGGAAATATTAGTGATGGAAAGGCCTTCTATGGACCACCTAATCCTGACTCGTGGCTTTAATTTCGGCGCTCATGCTCTTGAGGTGGAATGCTTTCAAAGTTGGGCATTCAAAGACCGCTGTTAGGTGGAGGACTAAGTTCAGGAAAGGGGGACGCCAGAGTGAACAAAAATGCTCACGTCGGAGTCTCAAAAATTGGCTCAGGCCCCGGGAGTCTCAAAAACTGGCTCATTATACCAAATTCTTAAACTTCTGTTATTACATATATTATATTTCATATGTTTCAGTAACCGAAGACGGTGATGGATCACCAGCGGTCGGATCAAGGGAAGGCCTGGAAGTTAGAGAAGAATTGAATTAGAACAGCGAAGTGGAAGGATCGATGCATATGTGGAGAAGTTGGCAATCGAGCTAGAACAAAGTAAGTCGCATAGATCAGATGAGACACAAGGACATGGAAGCGGACGGCAGAGTCTAACTAAAAATTCTGTGGCGCACTCCAGACGACGGGAAAGCTCCGCAATGGCTTCGCTCCGCCGGCGGAATCCCTCTTTACCGACACATATTAACGACGCAATATTAATCAATGGCTTGGTGACAGGTGACACTTCGAAAGATATCACCTTACCCGCCAGGTTTTCAATGTTGTTTTATTCCTTGTGGTAGAGTTTTCCGTGTACCACGTACCTGAGCAGAGTACAGCTGGAATATCGCGGACAATCGCGAAAAAAAAATGAAAAGAAAGAAAGAAATAGCGTTTTTCGGGGTTGTGGCCCGGCCCAATTATTGAGAACGCGCGAGAGTGCAGCATTTTCACAAAACTAATTAGAAACTAGAAGATTGACTCTTTTGAAAAAATCGAAATTTTTCCAAATGACACCCTTTCAAGAAATCGTCTCAACAGCATTTTTAGGCCATTCTCTTTAAACGCAACTTCACCTTCAAATGGTCATAAGTTTCTTCAAAGTCTGTACATTGAGAATCGGTAAAAAAGCCAGCTTCTAATTTTGTGAATAGTAATTGAGGTTACGACCTTCACCTCTTCCATTGGCAAGTAACTACATCTAAGCTCGAATCATGGATCGGATCCAGCTCAAGCCAATGGGGCTTCCCACTACGTCAATAAGGGTTGCAGATGGGCACCGTCAGTCGCCGAGATGCCTGGACCTATTCACGTCGATGGTAGGAGCGATCGCACGGGTTTGGAACCCCAGAAACGCCCCGAAATCTATCGATGAAAAATGGCCAACTAGGTCGGTTTTTTTTTTCGATGAAGGTCAGATTTTAGATTCCTATTCAATTCAGATAACAAAAAAAGTCGAGGTCCCATGCGAGGGATACACGAAAAAAAATCGCCTTGCCGTCCAAGCTGCTATTTAACACTTGACTCAAAATTACAAAAAAACTGTTTTTGATAATTTATCTTCCGGCCAGCGTAAACTGTAGATCACTTGTCGCGATAAGTAAAAGTGCGATTCGAGTCCCGTCTGGCGAAAGATTTTGTTCGCACCACAGCATTTTTCTCATTGGACAAAAAATATTGTATTGTCATAAGTCCTTGCAACACATTGTAACCAGTGCGCCATAATTAACGAGACCAGCGACTTCGAGTTGCTACGATCAGCAAACGTTGCCAATTCCCTTGAAAAACAAGAACGCAAACACAAAAATGACAGTAAACATGCACAGTCCATCGACATGCACTCAGTGTGGCGAGTAGACTACGTCAAGCTCAAACGGGCAGCGGTTTCTTCAAACCAAATCCTTAGCATAAATGTTTTTTATCACGCCCTAGTCTAGTTGTAACTCGACTGCGTACCCTATCGAGCTCAGATCTGAAATGCTGTTCTACCACCGTTTAAGCCGACAAAGTCGAAAAAATCGGTTCTGCATCAATGCTGCACTAGTACTGAACCACCCTTGCCTCGTAAACGGGAGCTCCTACTTGATGGAAGGCCCAGCAACGATTTTCAAAGTGAAAATAATTTCAGGATAGCATGATCTTGGTAAGCTCCCAAAAGAGCCTACCCTGATCACCTCTCTCGATCGACAATCCCCAGTGAAACCAGCGCGTCGGTCAACTACGCCCATCACAATACCTCAAATCGCAACACAATCCTTAAGAACGTTTCGATCGTCGCCAACAACACGCCCTTCTCATCCAGAATGACTGCATTCAGCTCCTTGTCCCCTGTACCATTTGGAGCATCTATTGATAGTGCTCGGGTATACACCAAAACGATGATAATTGTCGCGTGCCAAAAACCCTCAACGTCGAAGTCCAATGATTTAGGGACGGTGTCAGTATCAGTCAACCGCTGCAGCTACCATAGATTTTGGTGGTTGAACAAGGTAAGCATAAACAATTCTACACCACAGTACCAAAACTAGGACAGAAGAAAACAGCATCTGTGAATATCAGTTCAAATTGTTTGCTCATGCGTTGTCTCCGTAATTTTGGCGCACCCTGTATTTACATGCCTCAGAAAATTTTTATGACGAACCCGAACATTCGCAAACATGTTTGTTGACTAGCACCCACCCGTCACAAATTTTCACCCCAACCATCCCACTCGTTTGTCTTCTTTTGTTAATGGATATTACACCGATTTCGCGAATGAATCTTCTTGGTGCCCTTAATTTTTACGAGTACTGCTTTTAATGTTCCGCAACTAATGCTACATCAAGGATTAGCCAGAAGATGGGCGAGGGCACGCTCTCGCGATTCACGGTGCGCCAGCGATGTGCCTCCATCTGAGCTAAGCACACGTGACTTTTCTTACTTCCGACAGCATACTTCAATCACCACCCAACCAACGCCCCATTGTCTCGCAATCGACAAATTGTCATTGAAAAGAATCTGGATGCCTACGATCGTTTGGCGCAGAGAAATTGTGAATGCACAATAATACAGCTGAGAACCTCCAAGACTTGGAAAAGTCCGAAAAATATAAGTTTGAATCCTACATGTCCTTTGACCCCGAACGCAGCTTCCAGAACACGAAGTCTTAAACATGCTAGATCATTTACGACAATTGTTTCCATCAATTCGTGTGACTTCCGGACAATGGGTTCGTTTTGATTTCCTTGACTACACGGACATGACATTCTTTCTTGGCGCTAGCGCCATTCGGCCTCTGTCTTCCATTCGTCTGCACCGTCCAGTGACTAGATCGCGATCACGACTAAGCTTTAGGGGAGAGAAGGGCTCCAAGTGAGTGAGCCGCGCACCTTGTGACGTTTGTTTTTTTATCTACTACCCTTCAGCTTTGCCATCACTGTGCTATAACTCAACCCCGGTCTCACCTTACCCCCCTAACTTAGTCCTCCAAGGCCCTGGTTAATGTGAGAGAGCCACAAAAAGCGAGAAGTGTGCGTTAAACAGCGCTTATGTCAAAAACGTATGTCATATTCGTAAGCAGGACACCAAATAAGCCCTATACAGGAATTTACACCGAATTTGGTGAAACATGTGTCATGACAAGGTGATGCCAACTGGCGTCAATCGCACCACCGTCAAAAATGAGTGTCATTTTCGTAATCAAGCGTAACTTCTCCCCCATAACAAGCAACAGTTGGTAAAGAAAGAATAATCTTTTGAGATTTTTGTAGTTGTAATAGTTGAATCAGTGTGGAATTGTACTTAAAAGATCAAGTGATGATTCTACTCACGATTGTACAAACTGCATAAATGGGCAAAGTATATCCTCCGGTAGCAGACAATTGTCAGACACGCTAGGGAAACAGACGTCTTTTCTAGGAGGATTTTAGTTTGACTTTCCAAGATTGGTTTTCCAGTGCATGAACGCAACTTTATGTGTACGCGTTGTAAACAACAATGTCGGCCAAATCAAAGTAATATCGCGTCACTTTTTCGCCGAGCGCGCCCCGAAAGGTCGATTAGGGACTGGTTAGAGAGTCGAAACTCGCACAGCTCCAGGTAATAACAATCTGCCTGAACAGTCTCACTCGTATCTGTTTTGCCATCTTTTTAGAACTTGTATGTACGGCGTCTTGATCGGCTACTCAGCTGTCCGAGCTCTGAAGATGTTTGTAAGATGTTAGTTCTATTCTCAGTGCAAGATCTCAGCACATTTCGAGGAAACTTGGTAGCAAATTCAACTTCCACTAAAAATCTTCCAACCCTCACCAATTCCTTTTCCACTTTTTCCAAAAATGCACTCACGGATGCAACTAAATATGACTGCTCTCAGATCATCCTGCACTCCAGCATCCCCATTCTTGGCTCACCATGGAGCGCAGTTGAATGTGCCTTGGGATGCCCCCAGAACTACCCACTGCTTTCTTAGGGAAGTTGGGTGACATCTACCTCGGTGCTCCTGTATGCTGATGTGTTTGCAGTCTTTTCAATCGGCATATTGTATTTAACGCTCTTTGCACTCTCCACACCCCATACCTTTCGCACTGTCTGCGCGTTCTGCACTGGCGCAAAGTATGAGTGCAACCTCAGAGGGCGAGTCACGCATTTGGTCTTTTCAGGTATCCTAACTGTGCTCTCACTGTAATCCCGATCGCTCAAAAGTCTTCTTCTTCTTCTCCCTAGCGTTAGTCCCGCGCCGTCGCAGGGTCCGCTGTTCTTATCAGTCGTCGCCACTTCGCTCTGTCCAGGGCATCCTGCAGTGGCCATGATTTCACTTAGGTCCTTCTTGATTACGTCCTTCCACCTCTTCTTTGGGGCTCCTCGCGGTCGCTTGCCTTGCGCTTCGAAGTCCATTGCATTCCTTATTGGGTGGCCTTGTGGTCTTCTAGCACATGCCCATACCACCGCAGTCGCTGCTCCCTCACCCATGCGTCGCTGGTTCTTCCTTCGCGGGAAGGGGCGTCTGCATGTCCGTTTGGCATCTCAGTTCCTGCTGTCCCAAGTCGGTCAGCGCGGCCATCTAGCTCTCATTTCGCGGTAAGCTGCTTTCGTGATCTTTGTTCGGGGCAGCACTCGTGGTGTGGAGATCGCAGGGCTGGGGGGCTCACTGGTCGGACACGTCCCTTTTGAGCGTTCTAGAGACTTCGGTCGCAGATTTCCGTGGATTCTCATTGCTCAATGCGGCGTTTATTCCCTTTACTGCCTGGTCCACACTGCCGTCGGCTGCCAGATCACTCCCAAGGTATCGGAAGTCCTCCACTCTTTCGATGCTTTCGCCATGTCCGTCCACGATCGGCTCTGCACTCTCTTCAGAACTCAGGAACTTGGTCTTCTTGACATTTAGCCGGAGCCCCCTTCTGCCAGGACCTTCTGCCACTTCTGCACCTTGGCCTGTAGTTCTTCTCTGCTATCGCTATCAGGGCGATGTCGTCAGCGTAGAGGATGGTCTTCAGTGGTCCTTCCATGAGCCCCTTCACCATGGACATCTAGTGTTAGGAGGAAGAGGAACGGGCTCAGAGCTGACCCTTGGTGCACCCCAACCGTGATGTCCACCTCCTTCGTTAGGCCGTGTGGGGTGCGTATGGCTGCCTTAGCCCCTTCGTACATGTCCTTCACCAGCGAGATCAGGTGTTCTGGCACGTTCCGTTCCCTGAGCGATCTCCATAGTACTGCTCGCGGTAGCCGGTCGAACGCCTTCTCCAGGTCGAGGAAGGCTAGGTAGCAGGGTCGGCGCTTTTCTCGATACTTCTCCATCACTTGCCTTGCGATGAAGATGGCATCCGTTGTAGACCTTTCGGGCATGAACCCGAACTGTTCCTGGGAGATCGGGACCAGCTCCCGCAGTTTCGAGTCGACCAGTCGCTCGTACAACTTCATGGTATGCGCAGTCAACTTGATCCCGCGGTAGTTGGAGCAGTCCATCGCGTCACCCTTCTGCTTGAAGATGGGGACGATAGTACTTGTTCTCCAGGCATCCGGCATCCTTCCTTCCGCAGTTACCTTGTTCAGGAAGCGGTGAGCCACCTTATCCCGTACTCTCCGAGCGCCTTCCATGCCTCGATTGGCACCCCATCTGGACCAACCGCCTTTCCAACCTTCATCCTCCCAAGTGCACACCTAACCTCATCCTCAGTCCAGAGTGCGATGGGACCAGCTGTGGCCTCTGCCCGTGAGTTGTTCTTGTGGGGAACTCCTCGTTCAGAAGTCTGAAGTACTCTTCCCACCTCCTCTTGACTTCGGCTGGCTTCCTTAGGATGACACCATCGCTGCCTTTCACACTTCACCACCCTGATGTCTTGAGTAGCCGATGCCGGGCCTTAGCCAGCCTGAAGACGAACTTCTCTGCGTTTCTGCTTTCCAACTTCTCGTACAAGGCGTCCATTTCCGTGTTCTTTGCCTTGGCGACGGCAGCCTTAGCGAGCCTCTTGCAACTCTTGTAGGCAGCGAGGTCCTCGGGCTCCGGTCTTCTGCCAGCGCTTGTATGCTTCCTTCTTCTGCTTCACGACTCGCTGGACCTCCTCGTTCCAGAACCACGCTGCCTTGTCTCCTCTGAATCCACCTCGCGTCTCGCCCAGTACCTCCTTGGCGCATCGTAGGATGATCTCAGCTGCATTGCCCAAGTCTGCTGCCCTCAGGATCTGGGAGACCAACTTCCATTATCCTTCGTTTGACAAAAGGGTTTTGTCACGCTCAAAAGTAGTGTGACAAAAGGTAACCATTTGAGGATTTATTTGAGGAACAATTTGCTTTACTTATTTTTTGTTCATTCTCCCCTCTATAATTCCCAGTACATTTTTTTAATCCGATCTAATTATTTTCTTCCATCATCAAGCATTTCGAGCTGTCATATGTGAGAGGTTTCTGTCGCCGAGGTCTAAGGGACGGACTTGTAAGGTGGTAAACTGCTTGAAGCGGACCACATCAGAGCTCGTCAGGGTGCTTCACAGTTGCCACCGACTTATAATTCCAGTGTGGAGTGAATGCATATCGATCGGTGACCGCAAGATCCACGTAAGGCCGTCATGGTTTGCGAGCTCGACTCGCAAACTATGGCATCGGCTTAACTATTCCGCACTCAAAGTGTAAAAGAACTATGAGACAGTTGCAAAGTGTGACTGTATCTTCACATATTTGTACAGAGAGTTTCGTTCCAGTGACCTTCCGCCTCCTCTAGGAGCTTTGCCTTGTGCAGTATTACACCCTTATATTTAATTCATCAGATAGACCGTTACTGAAGTATCATTGTGTGCTTTTAGAATCCCTCCGAATTGCCAGTGTATGTGTGCCAGTGTCTCATTCAGCGGAAGCATAGGTAAAGTCGATCTCGTTTTCTACATTATCCTGGTACCTAGCTCTATCCGTAGTTCTTTTGGTCTGGAGCGCTCAGGAGCATGCTCATTGCGTATCCCATCTTCTCGAAGCTTGCTTGCTGTTTCCAGTTAAGGAATTCTGTCGTAGAGCCAGGAACGGCCGTAGCGCTATCGCTGTCACTAAAGCCACTATTACAGGTGAGTTTTATTAGGTCAAATAGGGTGATAAGTAGACTTTGGATAGTGTCTTCCTTCTCAGGCGAGCCGTCTACGCAAATGACCTTGAAGACATTTCACTTCGCTGGTGTCGCCACCATGAACGTCATACTTGGAGTGCCACAAATCAAGGAAATAATTAATGCTGTATAGCTGTGAGTTGTCCTCCATCTAAATTGTTTCAATGCTTCCTATAAGAAGTCTTTGAGATTTCAACTTGTATCACTACTGCGAAATTGATGGATAATCGAGACGAGATGCTGGCACGACAGGTGAAAGCGCGAATTGATGATGCTGGGTTAGTTCTTTGTTCTGGTTTCATTCCCTTTTGAGTCTTCCGTCGTCATGTTCAGCTCCATGTTCAAGCGACATTTATGATTATATTGAAGAAGTCAGCATGTTAGACGATGCATTCCTGACTTCGAGGTTGAGCTCAAATTCTCCACGTGGAGGTGCGTAATTTCTTCTGCGAAATAAACTTTTCCTTGCTGACGGTTCAAGTTACATTTCGCTTTCAGAGTCATTTTTCTAAGATTACGATGTGAAATACTGTGCCAGAGTCTCCTTTCGTAGAAAGTTTTATTCCGTTCAAACTGGTGCATGTAAATAATTGTCGTTTATAAGACTTCTCGGGTTCTTGAGCAGTAGCTCATTCAGATTAGCACTATGGGCATGTCAATGATGGTTATTCGTTCACAGACTGGATCGAAGTTGAGTAAGGCAAACACCGTCCAGATAACGAAGCACACGACTTAACAAAGCGTCGTAATGAAAGGTACGCGAATTACACATAGGTTTTTTGCCTGTTTCTGTACTTATTGATAGTTTTCAAGTCAAAGTTGCTATTCTAAATATTTTCGCAATTATAATTATCGTTCCTTGCAATATCAAAAGGTTAAGGTATGCCGAACGTGAAGTGCCATGTGATTCATGCTGATGAGAATGGCGATGGTACATCATCATTGGGAAAGGCAGCAATTTCCGTGGTGTACTTTCTCAGCCAGGAAATCGATGGCCTTTTCACAAACTTTAAAAATGCTCTTTTCGTTAGAAGTTAGTTTATTGTGCTGCGTTGAGTTATGTCCTTTTCCTGCTGGAGGTTTCTTTTGAGACATCATGCGAATGTGAATTTAATTATTTTTTTCCACTTTGTTTTGGTGAACAAGGATTGTTTTTTCTTTTTTGGAACTGTTCGCTGGCCAGCGCCGCCTGCTCCGCCTTTCTTTGCTTTTTATTTTGTAAAAGGTTCATACGCGCTATTACCCATTAATTTTTCGAGGCTGTGCGTTGTCTATGGAAGAGCGATATTCATTGGGATGATACCGCTATTCGAGTTATTCATGTAATGAGCCGAGTATTGGTCTCTGGCTTGTCCGAAGCGAAAAGGAACAGGGAAAAGGCTCATTCTCCAGGTATCAAATCGCTCTCTCGGACTTCCCTTGCCAGTGCGCACATGGGCAACGATTTGTTGTATCATCCACCTTCAACTACTTGAGTCTGGCGAATATTTCAATAGTAAATTGTGCGCAGTTACATCGAGACAGCATAGGTCTGCCCTCCAGAATTCTTATTTTTTTGTGGACCTTCGCTTCGTCTTTTCCATGCCCCCCCCCTTCCTCTCCCGCCCCTCCTTCCCCCTCCTCCCCTTCCACTCCACTGCCATCGTTGAACTCATGGTTTGATCGGCACTTCATCTAAATGCGTTCGTCGGTTACATGCGGATCTACCTCGTGGAAAAGTTTCGATCTCGGTGGAGCGATTTTCGCTTTAAGTCCTTCATATGGAATAAGTACAGATTTGATGGATAGTTGGGCATACATTGCAGCACCTCTGAAGCAGACTGTACCTTCAGCGCATTTTTGAGAAGCTTAGTTTCTGCTAGTGAAAAAACTGAAGCTGATGATTGTTAATGGTGTACGCAGGGAGTGTTACAGTAGAAGTTACTGTGTTCTTGCTGCTAAAACGTTTAAATAATCTTTGGAAAAGCGAATTACTGTAAAACAACCTCGGTTTGCCTTTCGGCGATCGTGATCGTGTGTTCTGTCAAGTGAATTGTTTCGTAGATAGAAATTAAATTTTAGACAGTGTTCCGGCTAAACGTTCTTTTTTTGAATAGGATGTTATAAATTGTGATGGAATGTGAATATCTGAGACAACTTGGCTCGAGTTCTTTACCGCTTTTCTTGTTCATTAATATATAATTTGTTTTGATGGAAGTTATTTTTGAGTTTGCATAAATTTTTGTCTAAACCACCTTTGGCGTTACAAAGCAGTGCGTTATGCTCGTTCAAAATACTTTTCGGTACTTCTGCAGACTGACGTTTTGATTGTTTTTCAAAGATACTTATAGGTGGATTGCCTCCGTAGGTCTGTCTCTATGCAGAGCCTATCGGGAATCATCCTAAGTCAGCTGCAACTGTTTGCCTTCTTCCACGTTATCTGTGTTCTCTTGGGGGCACCTGTGTTCAGTGGATTGTCTCGACTACTGTGCTCTCTGTTTGGTTGGCGCTTCTCACTGGTCTTCCCCTTTCTCTCTTTTACAGAAGTGATAGCCATATCCGAGAGTTTCTGTTGGAAGGGAGGTAGGTTGTTTAGTGATGATTTAGAAATTTACCTCTATCAACCGTTCCACGTAGTATACACATCGGCGGGCTTTATCATTGTGCTTTTCGTTTCTCACCACTTTCTCTTTCTCGGACTTCTCTGAAGCTGAAAGCGGTATTTGATTTCAAACCATTTCCTGAAAACTGCAGTGTCGGAGTCACTAACTCATCGTCTGGAATGTGTACTTTCATCCAAGTTATTTTATCCAATCAATTTCTCACTCTTGAGGGAAAGCATTGTGACCGTCCACCATGTTACTTTCTTTTCTTGATTCTATCATGAAAAGGCTGTATTCACGTCCTGCTCAATTACTCGGCCGTGACCAGCTGGTATAATCAAGTTTCAATCCACTGTAACATGTGAAGGCCGCAAAATACTCAGCAATCCTACTCTACTCCAAAAATACTCATTCACATGACTTTTAGCTTGTTGAGGGCACCTGTTACAGGTGTGCCACCCATAAGCAGCTGGTAGCTCATCGAGCCATTGTCGGAGCATTGTTGGGAGCTTGGCTGGGAGCATTTGTCATTCCATTAGATTGGGATACGTGGTGGCAGGTATGGTGCTTTTCGGCTTATCATCTATATCATTGGATCTTTGTGAGTTTTATCGAGCTCTTATTGCCAATTTTTTTAACTGAGTGGGGTATCCTCTGTCTTGACACTTATTGAATCTTGCTTCTGGCATCTTCTTAATTCAGGGATCATAATAGTTCTGATGTCTCTCGAAGGAATGCGGAGATTCCCGTTCTTTGAAAACCAAGATTTTCATATTCTGGGCACCAGTAATATTAATGCCGATGATGCGAGAAAACTCTTACAAGGTAATGGTCAGCAGGTCGGTCCCGCCATCTGCAGTGGGGTGTACTTAGTGTAGCTGCATTCGCCAGGGACAGTGAGATTAAAACTGCTTCCTAATCTGTAAAACGATATCCATGAACGAGGTTACCGAGGTTTCTCGCCAAAATGTTTTGCACCTTTCCTCAACGAGAAAGCTCCATACCGCTCTTTTCACACAGGCATCTGTAGGCTGCTGTTGACGCAGAAATGATCCCAAAACCTTTTTAGCTATGTTATCGAAAAGAACAAAAGAGTAAACCTGTTTGGGGATCGATCCATTGACCTCCTGCCCGTGAGCGAGCCCGCACCACTGCGCACCTCCGCTTTGTAACTCCGTCCAGACTCGGTCGTTTAGCGGATATGGGAAGCATTAGTGAGCGCAGCGAATCGAGGCGAATGCTACGGCGTGCACCTCATTTTAGATGTCAGACCTAGCTTTCCTGGTTAAGGCTGTTTCAAATGCACGCATCTCTTTTCCGGACAGCACCCACTCGTTTGACCCTTTCCGTATCCAAATCTACACTTTGGTGAGTGTGCCAGAGTAGCGGCATTTTTACACGATTATTGGACAGTAAAATTGTGTTTAAGCGGCCGTCAGTGCGCATAATCGCGCCATGGCTCGGTAATACGCCTCGCCTGCC